TCCAGGGGAAAATGTGTGGCTTGTGCTCTTAGACAATATGGAGAAATAGTAGGGCTAGATATGCAGTTGTTATTTTTTTAAAATCTTAATTGAGCCTATGGGAACTGATGAAATCACCAAGGCAGAGAATGTAAGACCAGAAAAGGACCTAGGACAGCACCCAGGACAAGCATTCATAGAGAGCCCGAGATGGATGGTGATCCAGTAAAGGAGACTGAGAAGAAGCAGTCGGATAGGCAGGAGGAGAACTAGGAGAGAGAAAGGAGATGGCCCAGAAGGCAAGGAAGAAGAAACCATCCTGAAGGAAGCTGTAGTTGATGGGGCAGAAGCAATAGAGAAGTCAGAATGAAGACAGGAAAGAAGCATTGGATGTAGTAGTTAAAAGGTCATTGCTCACATTGCACAGAACAGTTTCACTGACACGGTGGAGTCAGAAATGAAATTACTAGGGGTTGTGAAGGTTTGGAGAAGCCAAGTATTCCCCCAAAGCAATCTCCCCCTCCTCAAATCCTACTACAGCAATTGTCCTGGATTGCTCTTTTTGGCTAATATCTGTTATTGGTCTACGGGTTCTATGCCCACCCTTTCCCAACCCACCCCCAAAGAGCTTGGAAGGCTCCTTAAGAGCAGAGAGGATGGCCTTTTTTTCATCTTTATGTCCCCGGTGCCTAGGATAGTGCCTTGTGCATAGTAGATAGTTCATGAAAAGCATTAGTATTGAAACTAGAAGATCTGGATTTACATCCCAGTGTTGAAACTTATTAGTTTTATAAACATGAGCAAGTTCTTGATCATAAAAGCATGGATTCAAAGCTGGAAGAGAGCTGAGAAGCCATTGAGTGCAACCACCTCATTTCATAGATGAAGAAAATGAGGTACAAGATCCCACAGGGAATGACAGAAGCAGGATTTGAACCCATTTCTTTTGATTCCAAAACCAGGACTCTTTCCACTGGACCATTGTCTCCATGACATGAGGCTTTGATAGGTGAAGTCTTGCCTTATCTTGTCCAGAAATAAACTGTCATGTCACTTCCCAGCCACCATTTCTAAGCCAAGCAACCCTCTTTGCACCCACACCTTCCTAGCTCCTTTTTGTATATTATCTTTACTGATTAGAATGTAAACTCCTTGAGAACTCACTTGCTTGTATTTGGATCCCCAAGACTTAACACAGTGTTTGGCACATGGCAAGTGCTTAATAAATTCTCCATCTTTTTTTCATCTATCTATTGATCGATCTATCTGTCTGTCTGCATATTGGTCCATCTATCATCTATCTATCCATATCTATTTGTCTGCACGTCAGCCTATCTATCTGTCTATCCATCTATCTGTCAGTCAGCATCTCTATCTATCTATCCATCTATCTACCACACCACTTGTCAGAGTCACATTTTTTTTCTCATCTGTAAATGAGGATGAAAGTGCTTGGATAACCTATCTCACTGTGTTGTTATACACTCTGTGCACAATACACACACATAGACATATACATTTATATACAATTATTACTATTTCAATTAAGATTTTAATTAGCTGGGGTGAGGGCATGTCAAAGAGTGATAGTGGCAGCCCTGGCTTAGAGCCGAAGAATCTGGTTCTGAGTATTGACTTGGGAATTGGGAGGCAGTGGTCTGGGGTATAGAATACTTTCTGGGTCTTCTTCATGTTCTAATGTAGGCCACTGACCAGTCAGGTGTCTCCCCAAAGCTGGTTGCCAAGGGAATTGGGGAAGGGGCATGCAACCATGTGACCTCTGTCCTGGATCCTTGCTTGAGTCTCCCTCATGAGCTGCTGTCTTGTCTCTCTGTCCTGTTTCTCTGTCTATCTCTCTGTCTCTGCCTTGTCTCTCTGCCTTGTTTCTCTGTCTTGTCCCTTTGTCTAGACTTTGTCTGTCTTGCTTCTGCGTCTGTCTTTCTGTCTTGTCTCTTTCTGTCTGTCCTTCTGTCTTCTCTTTCTGTCTCTCTGTCATGTCTCTCTTTGTCTAGTCTCTGTCTCTCTCTTGTATCTCTCTGTGTCTTGTCTTTATCTTGTCTCTGTGTGTCTTGTCTATCAGTCTTGTTTCTCTCTTGCTCTTGTCTCTCTGGCTGTCTCTCTATCTTGACTTCGTCTTGTCTCTTTCTCTCTGTCTCTCTGTCTTGTCTGTCTATCTTGTCTCTCTGTCTTGTCTTTCTATCTTGTCTATCTGTCTTGTCTGTCCACCTGTCTTGACTCTCTGTCTCTTTCCTTCTCTCACCACTTTAATTTCATTCCCTCTTAGAAACCATGGTAAGTAACTTAGAGACCCAGTAGGAAGAACTGCATCAGGGAGGATCAGGTAATAAGATGTCTTTACTCGAGTCTCTCCCCATCCCCTCCCTTATCTCTGCAAAGGAGTCTCCAGAGGCCTGAAGCCTCTCCCATCCCTGTGGGACTGGAGGGATGGGAGTGTCTCATCCACAGCTCACTCCCTCTAGAGGCCCTGCCAGGGAAGGGCTGGGCTTTAGATCTGGGAGAGGGGAGAGAGGGAGATTCTCTGTCTCTGTCACCTGCTCAGAACTGTCACGCTCTGACAGCTTTAGCTATTAGTGACCCTTCGGGCATTTAATTGATCCCCTCCTAACAGGATGGCGTCCACAAGGGGTAAAATTGAAAATTCTCCTGTTAGGACCAGAGAGCTTTACCACCATGGTCTATACCAGGTCACAGTCCAAGAAGGCGAGAAAAAGAAGATTGTTAAGTAAGAGGGTCCTGCAACAACCATCTTCCCTGGGGAGAAGGATCCCCAAGGAGGGTCAGGCAGAGGCAGGAGAGGACCAAGGGAACCCAGGCAGGGTAGGAACCAAGGTAGCCTCTATATATGCCACCAACATAGGCCATCTATAGTAGATGGCATGCCCTATTGAATTTAATAATTCAACTTGGCAAACATTGATTCATTAATAATAAGAGTAATAACAAAAATTTACAGAGTACTTTAAAATCCACAAAGTGGTTTCCTCACAACAACCCTGTGAGGAAGGTGTGGCACAAGTATCTTTATGCCCATTTTAGAGATGAAGAAAGTGAGGCTTAGAGAGCTTAAATGTTTTGCCCACAGTCACCCCTCTAATAAAAATCAGAGGCAAGATTAAGAAATAAGTCTCCTAAGACTGAAACCAGAGTTTCATGTTTCCATGCACCATGCTAGCATAGATGGGGGAAGCAAAGTGGCACAGTAGATAGCATGCAGGGTTTGGAGTCAGGAGTTCAAATTTGGTCTCAGATACTTACTAGCTGTGTGACCCTGGGCAAATCACTTAACCCTGTTTGCCTCAGTTTTCTCATCTGTAAATGAGCTGGAGAAGGAAATGGCAAACCTCTCCACCATCTTTGCCAAGAAAATCCAGAATGGAGTCACAAAGAGTTGGATATGACTGAAAAACGAGGAACAACAAAAAGCATAGATGGGCACATGCTCTGCTTCTGAGACCTGAAGAAATACTGGCCTCATACGTGCCCTTTGCCCACATGTAAAATGATGAGAACACAAGTGACATAGTGACAGACACTACATTTATTTGTGTAATGGCAGGTGGGTTCTTTATGTTTGTCCCTCAGCCTCCAAGAGGCAGCTGTTTATACCAGCCTCTTCAGAATAAGACTTCCAGGAGAGAAGCTCTATTATTGAGCGGGATGAAGCTATGCATGACACCGTCCCCACACTCCTCATGCAGTAATGAACGGAGCGGGGGCAGGGGACATAGCTAGAGGACAGCCAATGGGAGCCAGAATAGCAGTGGGGTCTTCACCCTTACAGACCAGGAGATTCTGCACAGGCCAAACAAGGGACATTATACAGGAATTTCTCCTCAGGCAACAAAAAAAAAAATTTCCTCCCTCACTGACCAAAGTTTCCCCCAAATCAGTACTATCTGCCCAAAGGCGTTACAGTGAGATCATATCTCAAAAGGTAGAAGACACAAGCAACTTGTTAATCAGTCAACAAGCATTTCGCAAGTACTTGCTATGTGCTAAGCACTGGGCATATTGGAGGGGGGGAACACAGTTCCTGCCCTCAGGGAGCTTACATTCTAATGGTGGAGACAACATGCAAACTATTATGTCCATACAAAATGTAGATAGTGTAAATGGGAGGTGAAGACCCTGATGGAGGGAGGGAAGGGAAACTAGGAAAGTCCAGGAAAGGAAAGACTCTTGCAGAAGGCAGGATGAGAGATGAGTCTTGAAGGAAGCCAGAAGGTGGCAGTAAGGAAGAAGAACATTCCAAGCAAGGGGAACAGCCAGGGAAAGATGTGATATGTATGGGGAGATGGAGTATAACATGTGAGGAACAGCAAGAGAGTTGATATCACCTCCTAGTAAAATGGCCTACCAAGTGACTGCAAAGAAACTCACATGAGCCAACGTCTTCATCACTGAGCCATTGGAAAAGACTCTGGTGTCCTCATTGGCCACAAAGGTGTTCTTTTAGAAGGATATTGATTGGTGTCTATAGCAGTATACACTGCCTGTGATGTTTGGTGTACAAGTATTACCACTGATGACCAGTGTTCTTGATATTGATGTCAAGGGAATGGATGTAGTCATGGTTCCTAGGATTGCTGATCTGAGGAGATGACCATATTGCTGTTTTATGACAGAATTTAGTCAATCTCAACTGGAAGGGCCCTAAGACCCAAGACAAAAGATCAAGGTGAAGGCTTCCTTCCCCTTTGTTAAGTCTAGATCAGTATTCCCATCCCCTAAAGCTTTTTCAGAACAAAATCCAATAAATTAGACAGATGTTGAACTCCCTCCAGCCCTTTCCTGAGGTTGCTCCAGACTAAACTTGTCTGTTGTTACTTCCTTACTTGCTACCTCTCTACTTATGTGTCTTTGATCTCAACCCAAGCTACCACCATCCTGCTCCACCCTCCCCAACTTATCTTCTGCCTAGGCCCACATTCCCTGTGGCCACAGCATCCCAGTCACCTATGTCACTGTGTCATGGAGTTCTTTGCCTTACATTCCTCCAGGGCCTCAACAGCATGTTTGAAGTATATCTGGTGGGCAACAACTCCCACCACTTCATCGTCTCCCCCACCTCCATCCAAGGAAAGGCTGACATCCGAATGCGAGTGGCCCAACCACTGGACTATGAGACTGTCTCCCGTTATGATTTTGATGTAAGTATCCTCCTCTTCTCTTTCTTTCTCCTTGGGTTGAGGTGGAGAGTGCAGATTCAGGCAATAGAATATAATAATATAATATCTCTAATATCTCTGTGGGTCTAAGATGGGAATAGTCCTGAGTCAGGCAGGTGAAGAGACTGGGGCAGGTTAACTTTCACCAAGGAGAACAAGAGAATTTCTGCAAAGCCAAACCAATGGATGGTTCTTCACAGGGACAGACATGAGAGGAACCCATTTCTGAGTAATGGTAACAGCCCATCAGTAGGATTCAGGAGTTAAATGCCAAAGCAGTTCCAAGTTCACCCCAGAAAAATGCTACCCACCGGACAAATTCCTGACAACATATCAAGTTAAGTAATGGTTTGGGCAGCTGTATCTGATCTTTATGCATGGACTGAGTAGGAGGTGGCTGGCTATGGAATGTGAGTTTGAGAAAATTACTACAAGGTCTCTTCTAAGAGCCCAGATCTCTCACTTTGCAGATACCATCCACCGTTAGCCCTGTTTCAGGGTGAATTTTATTTCTCCCTGTGAATCTCACCACCCTGAGAAAGACAGGAGTACAGGAGGGAGAGGGGACCCACAGGGACATCACAAGATGGCAAAATGTGAAAGCACAGGTTACCTGGAAGGTGAAGGGGACATTGAAAGGGTGAGATTTGAGTTCAGAATGGAAAGAGAAGGGTGAGCCAAGACCTACTTCAAAGAACCACATCAGGTCCAGCTCTGCAAGAGGCCCAGCTGCCCTGGGATTCAATAGGACGTGGGCTTTCTGGTAAGGCAGGGAATGGGGCTAGAGGGGACAGATCTAGAGGACCCTGGATCCAGGGTGCAGAGATGCCAAGATCAGAAATGCAGAGCAGAATCCACAAGCAGGAACTTGAGTATTCCCAGAGCAATGCCCATGGCCCGGTCTAGGAGTTGGGGAGGACTCATGATTCTGTTTCCCTGGAGCCGCATACTGACCAGTCAACAAGTAGAAACAGAGGTGCCCACTTTCTCAAGTCCCCTTCCTTCCTTTCTCCAAGTAAGAGCTGTCAACCAAACACAAGGTAGCCCCCAATAGGGAAACTACACATTTGCTGAACATAAACCACTGGTATCTGTCCTTATCAGACTAGGTAATGGGTGTTCAGATGCTCACATTCCCCACTGACCCAGTCCACCATCAATCCTGCCAGGCAGGGCCAATAGCTCCAAATGGCTTTCCAGAGAAGCCTGCAAAAACAGCAGTTGGAAGAATATAACCAGGCCATCACCCCTTCTTGAGGTGGAGTGTGGCAAGTGGGTAGAGAAAGGCCCAAGAAAGACAGGTGGGTAGAAACTGAGAACAGATATTTTGGGTTAAGATGGGTAGATGTTCCTTACCTAGTAGTAATACACTGGAGGATGAAGATTGCGATACACTTGGAGGTGAGGTGCTCACCCACCCTCTCTCTTCTCCCTGCCAAGATGTTTGCCAATGAGAGCGTGCCTGACCACGTGGGCTATGCCAAGGTGAAGATTACCCTTATCAATGAGAATGACAACAGACCCATCTTCAGTCAGCCACTATATAACATCAGCCTGTATGAGAATGTCACTGTAGGGACAACAGTCCTGACAGTTCTGGTGAGTTCTTCTGCCCTCCTCCTCACAGGTCAGTGATCTCCTCTAGATGGTTATATTTGATAAGACTGGTAATTAATAATACTCATCATTAACATTACATTATTATTTATATTGTGCTTTAAGATTTGTGAAGCATTTTATAAATATATTTTTTATTTTCACAACAACCCTGGGAGGGAAGTGCTATTATTATCCCCCTTTTTACAAATGAGGAAACTGAGACAAAGGTTAAGTGACTTGCCCAGGGTTGCATGACTAGTAAATATCTCAGGCTGGATTTGAACTCGGGTCTTTCCAGTTCCAGGTCCAGTGCTGTCCATTGCACAACCTAGAGGCCTCATCCAGCTGAATTTTTTGGCACCTTGAGCCATCCTTGGACATCTCCAGCCCCCAGTATTAGCACTGGCCAAGATTATGTATTCAGTTAATATATATTGATAGCTGGAGGACATCTGAGACTCTGCAAAAGACCAGGGCACCCCTGGACAAAACTCAGCAAATGGTATCCAAGGATCCTTGAGGAGAAGCCCAAAGACAGAGTGAACTTGTACCCGAAGGTGATGGGGGAATCTGCCCAATTGGGAGAGGAATTTTAGCCATATACCTGGAAAAATACCCAGCCACCTCTGGGATAGGTGTCCTGTGTTGGCTAAGGACATAGCCCCTAGGAAAGCAGAGGCAAGTGAGAGGCTTAAACCATCTAGAGGGGGCACACATCTGTCACCTACAACCTGTATCACCTTGGACAAATTACTTCATCTCTCTGGGCCTCAGTTTCCTCATCTGTAAAATGAAGGAGTTGGACCACATGATCCCTAAGGTCCCTGCCAGTCTAAATATGTGATCTTACAGTTATTCCAACCTATATTCTTCTCCCTTCCTCATTTTCTCTCTCTCACCCTAAAGCCCCAAATTCAGGTGCAAACGAATGTTCCCATTCCCTTCCTCCAGATTCCCCACCCCCACCCCTAAGCAGAGACAGGAGAATGCCTCTGTGGCTCATGGGGTCCCACACTTATAAGTGTGTTTACTCTACAGACAGATGGTGTGAAACTGTATTGAGCCCCCGGGCGCTTCCCATCTGACAGTTATTAATATTTCAAACAGATGTTTAGCTAGTCAGGCTGTCAGACGCTAAACAATAAGTCTGTGGTCGCCATTGGTTGCTTTGCCTCCCCCCACCCTCTGGCTCTGCCAGCCTTCACTGAGGCTTGCCCCTGCCATAAATCAGCCTGTGCACGATGCCACCCAGGGCTTCCAGACCTAATATGGAATGCTGCTGTATGAGGAAAGTCTGGGGATGGCTGTTGGCACATTCTTGACTCTGCTCAGCTCTGGAGTGCAGATTATATTCACTCATTCATTCAGCAGGAATGTATTAAGACCCTACTGTGTGCCAGGAATTGTGCTATATGCTAAGGATAAAAACACAAAAAAACAGTTTCTGCCTTCAAAAGAACTTACTTTCTATTTGGGGGGAGCAGGGAGAAACATGCCCCCCCAAAAATTAAGCACAAAGTATCTATATGAAGAGGAAAGTCTGAGGGGTGAACTTGGAATCAAGCCACCATGTTACTTTCAGGACATTTCCAAGCAATGCCACATGCCCTTTGACCATCCTCCATACCCTCCTCATCTTCTTTCTACCAGAACCTTGTACTCTGCCCCTGAGAGAGGGCTAGGCCTTAATAGGGGAGTTTTCACCCTACCTTGCTCAGAATCAGATCACTATGTCACTTTCCAGTCATTTCCAAATTGTGCCACTGGGCACATCCTTCCCACCCCCATCAGCCCAACACACACACACACACACACACACACACACACACACCTCCTCTCCTGCCCCTCCCACTTTCTAGCTTTCCCTTCATGGTTGTGTCTCACCATTAGAATGTAATCTACATAGTAAGTGCTTAAGAAATGCTTTATCACTCATTCATTCTGAGGGGAAGGTGTCTAGCAATTGTGGAGATGAGGAGAGACTTCCTGTAGGATGTGGCATCTGATTTGGTCCTTGAAGGAAGCCAGGGATTCTTGGAGGCAGAGGTGGGCAGAGGAATGGCATCGAGATAGGAGGTAGAATACTATGTGTGGACAAAGGTGAGCAGGCTGATTTGGCTGTATCATAAAGTGCATGAAAGAGAGCAGTGACCTGGAATAAGATTGGGAAGGACTTTAGATGCCCAAGTGAAGAGTTTGTATTGTTTTCCTAGAGGAGTTTGGGAGCCACTGATGTTTATGCAAGTGATATGGTCAGACTCATACCTCCAGAATAACAATTTGGAAACTGCATGAAGATGGATCTGAGAGGTGAGAGACTGATCACAGGGAGGCCAATTAGGAGGATAGTGTAAGAATACAAGTGAGTGGTGATGAGGCTCTAACCTCGGATGGCGACTCTGTGAGGGGAGAGAAGGGGACAGAGAGATGTGAGCTAGATTGGGGTGGTAGAACCAAGACTTGGCCGTTGATTGGATATGAGGGGTAAGCAGGGAGGAAAGAGTTAAGAATAAAAGATTTTGGGCAATGTAAAATGCTATGTGGTCAGAGGACTTCCTCTCATGCCTCTACAACAGGGTTGGAGGTTCTGACCGCTTGCCATGTGCCTGTACCCTGGGAGGAGCCCTGCAAAGGGAAGCATCATGTTAATCATCCTGTAACTTTGGGTCTTGACACCACCCAGATATCCTGGTCGACAGAGAGACACCCACAGAGAGTTCTTGCTTCCTAGTGAGCTGAGTATTTTTCCATCAGTCCAGACCTATGATTTCATCAGCATGAGGAGCGCCCTCTCCTCAGGCATCTTATTTGTAGCTTATTATCTTAGCGAGGTTCGAGTAAAGGAGGTCCCCATTTTGATGCTCTTGCCAACGGGTCTAAAGCATTCTGCAATTGAGTCAAATCAATTTCACCTCCCAGGACGGCTGGGACAATCCACATGTAAAGGACCTGAGGGGTTTGGTGGAGTCCCAGTTCAAAGCAGTCCAATGGAATTATATGACAGTAAAAGCAGCTGATGTGATCAGTTGATGAGATCGATAGGAGCTCAGTGGTGAGAAAGGGAGAAAGAAGTTTCTGTCTTGCTCCACTTGGCTCCTGGTCAAACCACCTCCAAAGGGCTCTTTTCCATTTGGGACACTACATTTTAGGAATTTCTTCAGGATGAGGCTAGTGCATGTCCACAGGAGCATGACCACAAAGGTAAGAAAACTAATAGTGAAGGTCTCTCTATTAGTAAGCACTAGATGAGGGATCTGAATCCAGATCCTCCGACTCCAGTGCCAGGAGCCTTTCCATCATTCCACACTGCCTCTGAGATGACCTCTGAGATCCATTCTAACCTTCAGACTCCATGAGTCCTTGACACTATCCCATCCTGGGGAGGACAGGTCTTATATTGAACCCTTCAGTATTCTAGAACTCAGGACTCTAGTGTTTCTACAGAGGAAGAAGACAGGCCATGGGAGAAAGACAACCGTAGCTTTTGCCTAAGAATAACAGCAATAAACTTTTATTAGGAACCTTATTAGTTTATTATTAGGTTAACTTATTAGGTTCAGAGATTTGTGCCAAGCACCTGGGGAAGGATGGATAAGAGTTCATCAAATAAGGATGGGTAGGGAAAACATTCATACCAAATGTAAGGGTGGGGCAACTGCCATCCTGGTCTCATCTCACCCGAGAGCACAGACAGCAGCACAAAGAAAGACAAAAGGGAGGAGGATTTATGGTATCTTAGTGGAGTTTTGGGCAGCCAAGTGGTGCCAAAGTGCACGGAGCACTGGACCTAGAGTCAGGAAGACTCATCTTCCTAAGTTCAAATCTGACCTCAGACACTTAACTAGCTGCATGACGCTGGGCAAGTCACTTAACCTTGTTTGCCTCAGTTTCCTCATCTGTAAAATGAACTAGTGAAAGAAATGGCAAGCCACTCCAGAATCTTTGTCAAGAAAACCCCAAATAGTCTTATGAAGAGTCAGACACGACTGAAAGACAACCAAATAGTAGAGATTAGAATATTTTGGCTAAAGTCAAGAGTGAATGGAAAGAAGTAATATGAGACAAGTTTGGGAAGATGCCAGATTGCAAAGGGCCTTGAATGCCAGCGAAATAAGTTTTAATTTAATTTAGTAGGCTGTAGGGAACTGATGAAGATTTTCTGAAAAGAAGAGTGATGGGCTCAGATCTCTGCATAAAAAATGCTAATTCAGGGAATTGTAAGAAGGAGGGCTTGGACAGGGGAGACAGTAAAGTCAACAAAATGTCAGTAGTCCATGTAGCCAGTGATTAGGGTTTATCCTAGGGTGGTTGCAGTGGGAATGGAGAGTAAGAGAAAGCAGAGATGTCGCATGGGTGGAACTAACCCCAAAACCCCTCTCAAGTCAGTCTTCCTTTATATCTATAGAGTCAGTGTATCACAGTGGATAGAGTATTGGCCCTAACAGTCAAGAAGTCCTGAATCTGACCTCATCCACTTATTAGCTATATGACCCTGGGCTCAGATCCTCAGTTTCCTCATCTGTAAAATGGAAATAATAATAACACCTACATTGTTGTGATGAACAAAGGAAATAATATATACCATATATAATAAATATGTACCATCTACTAATAATAAAAATAAATTGACTAATAATATAAATATATAAATGAATTCTATAACTATAAATATTACATAAATATATTATAAAATATAAAATTAAAATAATAAAAATATACTATATAATAAATACTATAGACAAAGGAAATAATATATACAAATGCTCTGTAAACTTTAAGATGTATCATCTGTTATCATCATCATCATTATTATTATTTGTTATTATTATTATTATTCCATTCCCCACCCCCTACTCAGGAAGAGAAGTGGAATTGTTCAGGCTGAGGAACTGACTTGGATGTGTTAGCACACTAACCACTGGAGAACCGTGGCCCACCCCTAAGCTATCCCCTCCAGCTGCTGGGGAGCCTGGGATCTGCCTCTAGGCATAGAATGAGCT